CAAGCCATCGATGAAGGGAGCCCTCAAGCCTACTATGGAGATCACAGCCCGCAGTACGATCAGTCTTGGAGCGATGCAAGCCCAGGACACGGTGAGAGTGAGAGTCCCTATGAGGGATACACAGCGTGGGCGGAGCACGATGTATCGCATGAACATCAGCCTGACCCGAGTGGATACATTGGAGTGCAAGAAGACCCAGAAGTGTCAGACGAAGAAGTAGTCATCGCACTGAACTGCATGGAAGAGTGCGAGATCTACAACCCGGACGGAACGGCAAGTCCCGACGCATTTGCGGCATTTGCCGAGGCCGTGCAACTGCAGTGTGCCGCGTACGAGCTCTTGGGAAGGCGAGCGGTAAGGGTAAGTTGAAGGGTAAGCCCCAAGGGAAGCCCTCTAGGTTTCCGGTGGTTAGGTCGCAGCTTTCAGTTGAGGATCGCAAGAAACGACTTCAGGAGATCAAAGCGAGGTCGAAGTGTTTGAAGTGCGGACAGGTAGGGCATTGGTCCGGAGACCCGGTGTGTCCCAAGGGTCGAAATTCAGGACAGGCTAGTCAGAACAAGCCACCGCCGGCAGCACCCAAGCCCCAAGCCTTCCTAGCAGATTTGTCTGACTCGTCTAGCCCGTGCATCATGATTGGACACTCGGGTGATTGTGAGAGAACGGGTTACATGGCCGTCAAGACTGGCAAGGGATACGCAAGTCCCCAGAAGACAAGCCCAGTGAAGAGAGAGAAAGGCCAGATCCCTCCAGGAGGTGACACCATCTTTGAGTGTGGGCAACATAAGGGTCTTAGCTACGAGGAGATTGTGCATCGGTTTCCGGGTTATGTGACTTGGGGCCGAACCCAAAAATCTCTATCGCTGTACCTCGCGCGGTTTCTAGACTATTGCCAGAACTACTACATCACTGATCATGAAACCATGGAAGTGCAAAGGCGAGAGATCTCTCTCGACCGAATGCCACCACCACCTGCACCCGCCCTATCATCGATTGTAGTGCCGGCGCAATCCGCGCATTCACCGTTCTGTGAATGAAGGTGTCCTGCTTGTCCCAGAAGAAGTTGTTCCCATGATCGACGAGTTTCGCACTCACGTTGAAGACCACATGATTTCAGAGGGTGCGATAAGTGCTCGAGACTTGCATGCAATACTGCAAGATCGAATCGAGGCAGCCATAGTTGAGAAGGGTTTGACCCTAAGTCGATTAGCGCCAGGGGAGTCCTCAATGGCAGCAGAGTCGGTGCGCGGAGGACGATGGGACAAGAGGTCGAGACCTAGATCGGACGGGGTTAGCTCAACTGCAATGCTAGCCATGAAGACTGAAGAACCCGAGTTCATTCCCTTGGTTTTGCCCGAGATTGACATCTACTACGAACACCCCGATGTCTTCGGAGTATTGGATGAAGGGGCAAACAGTTGCGTCTGTTCCACCAAGTGGATGGAAAATGCCCTTAAGAAGTTAAGGGAGTTCGGGCTTGACTGCCCGTGGCAGACTTCGGAGGGAAAGAGCTTCGGAGGATTGGTGGGATCGTCTAAGACCTTAGGCGATCGGAGATTTCCGTTCAGCATCAAGATAACGGACCCCAACGGGGATGATCACTTTGTTTCGGGATTGCTGGACGCCCACATCCTCGGGGGTGAATCAACAGCTCCCCTTCTCATGTCCCTGTACGCCCAGTCGATGCTGGGTATAAGCAAAGACATGAAGCGGTTTGAGGCAACCATGGATAGAGGCGAAGGTCTGGTTGTGAGGCTGCCACTGTTCAGGTGCAAAGGCAGCAACCTGATGGTCATCAATTTGAGTGAAGAGTTGAGAACGAACCCCAGTCTCCCCAAGAAGATAAGGCAGTCCCGGGTTTCGGAAACGATGCCGCACATTGTGGATCGTATGGTTGCCCCGGACTGTTTGCCGGAAGCCTCCGCGTGGAGGTGGCCAGTGTAGGTGCCAATTGGAATGCTGCTGCGCGATCTTACTTGAGAGACCCCTCTGATGAGGCGGCGAGGGCGATTGCGCGGGACGTTTTTGATGGACCTGTCGAGGATGATGCTCTGGTTGTGGTGATTGACACCCTGAAGATTCATAATCCTGAGAAGGGTGGTAAGGGTAAGCAGGATCAGCGCGGGCATGTGGGCTCTCACGCGGCCAATCTTAATGGATGCGTGAGCGACGATCGCATTGCGCGTGTTATGCGTGATGTTATTGCTTTCGTTCGCGAATGCCCTGACCGAAGCGTTTTTATCTTGTCCCTTTGCAATCAGAGTCGTCATAGGTCCGTTGCAGTGGCAGAGCACATCGGTTATAACTTGAGTTGCAGCGTGACACATACCGGGCAGTACAACGGTTCGTGGGCTGCGATGAATGGACCATGCCGTGGATGGTGTAACATGTGCCGCCACATTGGTGATGAGGACAGGGCGGAGGCTCAGGGTATCTACAGCTCCGTTGCAGAGCGTATCAGTTCCATTTCCGGCGAAGCTTCGGAGTGGTTTTGGATCCATGGCGACGTGACTGCTGGTTCGGCTACCCCTAAGGCCCCTGTGACCCCACCTAAGGCTAAGGTGAAGACGAAGGCCATGCCGAGAGAGCCGGCGAATCCGCCACCGAGGGCTGTACCTCCTGCGACTCCCCGCCGAGGGCTGTACCTCGTGATTATGCGGTTCCCACTCCGAAGGTTTCTGGTGTTCTTGCTGCGAAGGCTATCGCTCCATCTGTCCCTGCCATTGCGAAGTCATCTGCTGTTGCTCCGAAAGTTGTTCCGTCAGCCCGTGTCACAGCGAGACCGTCTGGCTCAGCTGTTCCCCATCCTCCAACTCCACCGCCATCCAGAAGACAGGCAGAGGCATCTTCATCGAATGCCAGGTTGGAAGATCAGGTGCAGAGCTTGACGCGAGAGGCCGAGAGGCTTAGGAGCGAGATGGATGCACGTGGTCGCGATGGTCCGAGGGATGATGGCCGTGGTCGGCGCAGAAACCGGCGTGACAGCCGATCGCGTTCGAGGGTGCCAGAGCCAAAGACGCCACCCAGAAGATCACGAAGTCGATCCCCTCACGACGCACGCGGCCGTGGATCGAGGGATGCCACCGATGGACGTGGTCGTGGGTCAAGCTCCGATGCGAGAGGGAGCGCCGATGCACGAGGCCGATCAGAGGAGGCATGGAGACAACTCCCGGTTTATCGCAGAGGCGACGATTCCAGTTGGCGTGATAGGGTGAATTTTGGGTCTGTAACAGACGAGTGGTTGGAAGAGATCGCTACCCCGTTGACAGCCCTGAATCTTCAATCAGAACGCCGTAGTGTGCGACGCTTCAAAGCGATAACATGGATCGGGCCGGGATCGGTATCGCAGAATTCTGAGCTGAACATGAAGGTCGTGCTATTGGATACTCAGGCTCCGGAGTGCCCTCTCTTTACCTTGAAGGATGCCAGGCATTATAATTGGCATGAGCATGTGTACATCCGCTATCGCGGCGAGTCGGAGTGGCACTACTTTCGTGCTGGTGAGATTGGTTGGCTCTACCAAAATTCCTCGGGAGGCAGACCTTGTGGTGCAGTTGTCGGTGCCGGCTTCTAGTGTCACCCGAGAGTCTCGCGGGCCGAGGGCATACATGGTTGAGCACCCCGGGTTGATGAGTAGAGGGCAACAAGCTTTCTTTGAGAAGCAGGTTCAGTTGGTGAAGGAGTCGGATCGGTTTGCAGCCAAGGTGATTGCAGAAGGGTCCAAAAGCGCGCCCGGTGACCCCGAACACCCGATCTTCCCAAACGCTATAAGCCAAGCATCACTTCGCTTTGGATTCACGACGCAGATCCAATCAACCACCCATCAGTTGGAGAACATCAAGCGAAGGAGCTCAAGTGGAACCGACTGGTCCACGAGGTGGCCGAGCATCGGCCCGGGATAGTGATCTACAAGGTGGTAAATCCTAAGCCACATGTGTGCCGGGATTTGTTCAGTGAATCAGACGCTTCGGGGATTACGGTTGGTGTCATTGCGCCATTGGGAAGATTGGAAGCGGACGCGATTGGAGCAGAAGTCATTGAGCTTTCGGGAGATTCGTGCATTGTATGCGTTGGACCGAAGGCCAGCGACTTGCAAGCGAGAGTTCAGTCGTGGTTTGAGGGTAAAGGTTTTACTCCCAACGCATTTGTGGAAACGGCATCAGAATCATTCCGAGATCACATGATTGCTTTTGCGGGAAGAGTGCTACCTCGACGACAGAGCTGAAGCATTCATGGTAGCAGATCCTGATGGTGATGCCGATGATGAAGATGCTGTGATGGAACCCAGTCATGGTGACGATGATCGCGGAAACCCCGAACCGAGCTACCCTGCGGGAGACGTTGGTAGCCTAGAGAACCAATGGCTTGAAAGCCTGCCACTGCCTGGTGTTCCCAAGAACGAAGCCCAAAGAAGAGCCGAGTGGCGTCGACTACCCCAGAAGGTGAGAGTGGCCATACGCCGGTTGCATCGATAATTCAACCACCCTGCGCCTAGAACTCTAGTGGCTATCCTTAAGGCTGGAGGTGCTGCTAAGGAGTTCATAGAGGCAGCCAAATTGGCAAAGTGCGATGCATGCGAGAAGACAGGACAGAAGCCTAGGCCACATCCTGTAGGTTTGCCTTCGACATACCAGTTCGGGGAAGTTGTTGGAGTTGACGTGCTAGAATGCATGGATTCGAAACGCCAGAGATACCAGTGCCTGAACATGGTAGACATTGCAACTGGATTCCAACAACTCGAGTTTTGCGACCTGTAACATCGGAGAACCACGGACCGCCACCTTCAGAGATGTGCCTTGAAGCATTCCAGCGGTGGATTGCATGGTCGGGATTGCCTCGGATCGTGACAGCAGACCGGGGAACCCACAACAGAGGACAGTTCGTAAAGTTCCTTTCGGAAAAGGGGGTAGATGTTCGGTTCGCGACAACCGAAGCACCGTGGATGATAGGAAAGGTAGAGCGTCATGGGGGGCTCGCGAAGGCAGTGATCAGACGTGTGTGCCATGAAGTGGTGACTGAAGGTAGTCAAGCGCTTCGGGGAGTGCTTCAGGAAGTTATTGGGGTGAAGAACACGATGATGAACTCATCAGGGTTTTCTCCTGCCCAGTGGGTTTTTGGACGTAATCCATTAGACCCCGATCTGTCCGCAGTGACCCCGGATGGGCGGACCTAGGTGCATTGTCAGCAAAGCATGATGGATCGGAGGCTTTCCAGGCGAGGCAGCAGGCTAGGCTGATTGTTCTAGAAGAATACAGAAGGCACTGACGAGGAATGCCTCCACATTCAAGGAGGAGTATCGGCCGGGAGACTATGTGGTTTACCGCCGTGACACTCAGGTGGGAGGCACGAAGTGGTCCAGTGTGTCCAGAGTGATAGGCCAAGAGAATGCGGAAGCAGTGTGGGTAGTGAATGCAGGGGTTCCTGTGTTGTGCTCAATCCACGCGCTGCGGCCTGCCGGGGAAGAGGAAGTCTTGTCCCACTGCCTGTTGAACGGGATTCCAGTGCTGCCTCAGTCTTTGACTGAGGGTCCCAAGGGCAGAAGGGGATTCGTTGAAGTGAGAGAAGATGGTGAGATTGATGTCAGTGATGAGAATGAGAAGCAGACAAAAGCACGGACAAAGCGCAAGCAGGAAAAGTATGACAAGAACATCACATCAAGCAGCAGCAGTGATTCGTCATCCAGCAGCAGTGATGAATCGTCGCCCGTTGGTGAAATGGCAGAAGATCCAATAAGTAAGACGGGCGACTTAGCATGTGAGGAACCGGCGGATGAAGCGATGAACGCCGTGTTGAGAGAAGAGCGAGAGTCTATGCAGCTCATGGTTGAGGCACTAGCAGACAAGCTACTGAAGGATAACGGTTTCACGCCGAGTTCGGGCAGAGCACTTCTCCGAAGCATGAAAGCCATGTGGAAGCTTGAGAAAAAGGCGGATCGTGCCAGGCCAAACCCGAGGCTAGCGGATCATATGAGTTTCGGCGCCTACCGTCATGGAGGTGCATTCGGAGTTACCAATGCCACAACAAGGTACCCTTCCGTGGCAAAGTACCTGAACAGCTACATGCTTGCTAGGTGCCGAGAGAGTGGAACAGCAGTAGAGAAGTGGAATTCGGTCACAATCCTTTTCGGGAACGAAAGTCCGACTGCTGTGCACTCTGACAATCAGAATTCCCAGGGAACATCAAATTACTTGTATTGTGACGGGAATTACTCAGGTGGTGCTTTGTGGATTAGAGACAAGGATGCCATCCACAACAGCGCTAAGGACACAGCGTGTGCATCAACATGGCACGCGGAAGAAGGATCCATTGAGGGTGTGAAAACGAGAACCCGTGGGCGATTGACTCATTTCAACGGGAAAGTCAAGCATGGCGTGTTCGGAACTAAGGGCGAAAGGTTTGCAATTGTATGCTTCACAGTTCCAACTTTGGATGAATCAACAACACCATTCATGCAGAGCTTAGGGTTCTATCCTGTTCTATCCTGAGCCCGATTGTGCCGTGAATGTAGCGGTAGAGAGTGATCCTGAAGTCGAGAGGACAGCAGAGGAACAGCAGGTGCAGCCTGATGACATGATGAAGGCGTGTGAGCGCAAGGACCATTGGAAGGTTGGACAGAACATGCATTTCCGGATACATGTGACGCCTCGTCGACACATGTACGAGCCTAACCCCGAGAATTTCCCCGGTGATCTCAGTAGGATCGGTTACACAAGGGAAACATATCGATTCTTTGAAGACGGAACGCATGATGTGGTGAATGATGAGTGGGGTAGAATTCCAGAAGCGAGCGGGATCACCGACTTAGCATGGACAGGGTTCAGTTTGTTTCGCATCCGGAGCGTCAGCCCGGCGGATCTGTCTTCATTTCCTGAGATTCCGAAGGAAAACCCAGAGTTCAAGGCGTTCGTGGCAGAGCGTTTCGGACCGGGAGAAGAAGGCGCGGGAAAGAAGCCGCGGAAGCTGAGTTTCAGCAAGTGCGATGACCACGTCAAGGAAGGCCTCAAACAGGCGCGAAAGGAGGAATGGAATAAGTAGCAGCACTACAATGCAGCAATCCCTATCCGAGGGGAGATGCTTCAGAAGCTGCTGAGCGAAGGATATCAGCCGATTCCGAGCCAGTGGATTGATGTAGACAAGAACGAATTCATGAAGGGCGGTGAAGGCTACAAGCCAAAGTATCGCAGTAGGCTGGTGGCATGCGGCCATCTGGAGAAGGTGAGCCGTGATGAGCTTCGTTGCGATTCCCCGACGGCTGATGCTGAGGTCCATTGTCTCATCGCTAGCTATGCAGCGTCAAGAAGGTTGAAGCTGTACTACTTTCAGGCTTCGTCGATGGAAAGGATTCTCTTGATGAGGCAACCGTCAGGAGGATTGCCCGGTGTGCCCGAGGATGCCATGCTCCTGTGCAGACTTCCGATTTACGGAACAATAGATGCAGGGCGGGGCTTTTACACCAGGTTGTGTTCGGAGGCAAAGTTAAAGGCGGAAGGGTTGTCAGTGAGCAAGATTGCGCCGGGGTTGTACTATCTGGTCGGGTCGGACGGTCTGCCGGCGATAATCCGCGCTACCCACGTTGATGATTTACTGTGGTGTGCGACCCAGGAAGGACACGACACGATGCAGTCGATCCTCTCCAAGTTCGATGTAGGGAAAATCGAGCACACGGATTTCCGGTTCTGCGGTAGGAGGTTTAGGCAAGCTGAGGATTTCAATGTCAGGATTGACGCGGAAGACAACACCCGCCAAGTGAGAAAGATCAGTATCCCAGTAGGGCGCAAGGCAACCGATCGTGCGAGTGAGGTCGAAACGACGAGCCTACGGAGCGTAGTGGGATCATTGGCATGGGTTGCACGGTTTGCCAGGCCGGATCTGTGCTACAAAGTC